CACCTTGGGTAAATCAATTACCTAAACGAAGCAACACACACGCTTTTCAACTCAAAAATTTATTAATTAATGTTTATTCGTTGTGGAGGATTACCCCTTAATAGGAGAAAACTAAATATACTATCAAATCACTTAAAAAATTTATCCAATAGAACGAAAGAATCATTCTAACCAAATATCTAATAAAAACATCTAAAAATATAAAATCTCCATCTGCCAATTAAAATTTTATCTAATAGAACAGAAAAAATCATTCTAACCAAATATCTAATAAAAACATCTAAAAATATAAAATCTCCATCTGCCAATCCCTACAAACTAAGATAATATCTTATAAAAATAAGATAGAATGAAAATCTAACTAAATTTCTAACTAGAATCAACCCGATTTTTAATTGGTACCAAATCTCCCTTTGTTAGAGAATGCTCAACCTCAAGTTCTATAGTGGAAGAGCATGGAAATTCGTTCAACCATTGGAAAATATTGTTGTATGCGTTGTAAATTATTTAAAGTCATCTAAATAATTAGATAATAAGTAGATGCGGAGGATGTGGAATGAAAAACTCTATTATTGAATTATTGCGAATTGGAGGTATCTCGAATTGCACTCAACCTTTGGAATCCGGTGTTGGGTTTGCTTTAAGCTCGGGATCTAGTTCAACACCCTGCTTTGTTTTTTGTTCAGGCTCCAGTTTAGACTGAATCTAGGAATATATCTTTAGATTTTCTTTTTACGATTCCACTTCTGGATCAGGCTCTGGATTGATCTTCTAATCTGCTAGCTCACATTCTAGCTCGGGCTCTAGTTTTGTCTCTAATTTTTCCTTTGGTACTAGCTCTAGATTTCGATTAAACTCAAGTTCAAACAACAAGCCTACATCTTGGTGAAGCAGGGACACTACTATTGACGTTGCTTCAATTTTTGTGAAGAAACAATAATATCTTCTAGTTGGTCGACAAGAACACCTCATTTCTAAAAGAAATTTTATAGTTGCCACGAACAGATAACTGAATGGTTGCTTGAAAAATTTCTTGATAACCATTCTTTAGCTTGTAGATGGTCTCCAAGTACACATAATAGAAAATATATCCTTTATATCTTAAATCTAAACTTCAAAATCATATGGCTCCTTATATCCATCCATAAAAATAACATAAAGTACCTTAGTCTCTGAATGTTGGATTAAAGAAATACTTGTTTTCCTGGAAACTAGATTCAAATAGGAAGATTTTGACACTAAATTTATACATTTCATACAATGTTTGAATCCCCTTTTAGCTATTACAAGCTATTGCATAGTTGTTGTCCTTTCTGTTCATTCATAATCACGCATTATATAGGTTCATTTGTATTCATGTCAATCAAGAGGGTATATATGTATGTGAATTTAGGAACGATCCTCTTGGAACTGATCAATAATATCGAGGAGTTTGTCTCAAACAGTAGGTAACCTTTCCTTGTTCTCTCTCAATTCCTAAGTTTTAATAGATTGAAATCATATTGGTGTGGAGGAGGTAACGGTATTTTATTCACCATTTTAATTTTTTAAATATCGAATATCGAGGAAATATTGGATGGCCAAAATCCATATTGAAAAGCAAATATCTGGGAAATATCAAGGTATATAGTAAATATCAGAGTGTCATATCGGATGATGTGAATATATATTGTAATTTTGTAAAATGTAATCCAACGTACTTAATGAGATCTAAGCATAAAATAATTTATACAATAAATAGTTAGGATTAGTAACCAATTGTGGAAACTTACTTAGGGAAAAGAGCCTACTATAATTTGCTAAAAAACTTTATAGGGCTGTAATTTTTTTCAAAAAAAAACATTAACCAAGTTTTGTAGAAGTGAATTATACGGGTCTGAAATAAGTTATATAAAAGGACATATCGACCAATATATCGGCTGATACCAACCAATATATCAGCTAATATATCACTATGACGAGGATATATTGTCCAAAATTGCCAAAATGCGGTAATTTATTTTGAGACCAAAGAGTTTTGCAGCATGCCTTATAAAAGGATATATCAACCGAATAGCCAATACATTGGCTATGTTGGGAATATTTAAAACAATGGTGTACCTATGGTAACTAGGGATCTTCGGATCTGATACCAATTGATGGGCATCGTGATGGTGACTCCTATTTGAAATGGTGAATCTGTACCTGTAGGCTACGAACTGGCTTTGAGCTGATGTCTGACTTCTTACAAGTCTGAAGATGACGAAGCCGAATTAGCGAGAGTATTGTCCTAATGACTGAACGAGTATTGTTCACATAAGCAGTAACTGTGAGCTATTGTTTACGTGAATAGTAGCATGGAATTGATGATGGCAGCAGTTTGCTAGGGAGGACTGGGGTCTTTTTTTAGGCTTGTAAATGAAGAGCGAAGATTCTTTTGGGGACTGGCTTTGTTGAGGCGAATAAAAATTAACTTTTGGGCTTCACACCCTAGGTAAATCACATGCCTAAACAAGAATTAGCTCACACGCTTACAAAAAACCCTTTCAACTCATAATTTTCTTAATCAATGTTTATTTCTCATGGAGGATTCAATCTTATTTAGGAGAAACTTAATACTAAAGATAACACCAAGTCACTTCAAATCTTATCTAACTTAACTGAAAAATCATCCTAACCGAATATCTAACAAAAAAAATAAAAAAATAAAATAAAATCTCCAACTGCTAATATCAACTTAAAATAAAATCTAGAATGAAATCCTAACTAATTACTTAGTAGAACCAGCACTATATTAACTTGTCCAGCATCAATTCTCTTTGTCATAATGATGAGAAGCATGGTAGCAGTCTTCAATGAGAAAAGTGATCGGGGCGGTGATTGTTCCATGGCAGAAACATTTTTCTCTACAAAATGGGGGGATTCAATTAGTATGAGCCTAGCTTGTAAGAGGGTTTTATTTTTTAATTATTTTATTTTATTTTTGGTTTGCTCTTCTGCAGAAAGATGAGACTGGTAGGCCTACGTGTTTCGTGGAAGGCCAATAACAAACAATAGCAAAGATATCATCATGAGGCCAGAATACCAATATTAGGAAAAAAAACTTTTGTATTAATTGGATATGTGCAAAAAGATAATGGTAGGCAAAAGCAATCTTTTTTGGTAATTGGATGTCCAAAGAGATACTTTTCCTTTGTGCATGAAGGATTGCTTTGATCTAAACATCTAATATTTCATTGGCAAATATTATTCTTGTTGCAACACGCATGCAGGATACAGAAGCGATAAAAAATATATAAAAGAGAGAGTACCATTCAAGCGAATCTTACCAAATATACTAAAAACCCCTTCTTTGTTCTGGCTGATTAAATCCAAAGCCCTTACATTAGAAATCAAATATTCATTTAACCCACACAATAAGCATGTCTGATAACCTGAAAAGGGCAAAAGAATCAGATAGCATTGCGGTGTTATCAGATAAAAGGATCCTGAAGTCCATGGAAGTGGGAAATACCTACAAGAATAAATAACCCAAATATTCCACATTTCTTCGGGTGGACATTAACTATAGATGTTAAAATAGCTACAGCTGCAAGGGTAAAAAAGAAATTCCAGTGAACACCATACTCCCCAACATGGACCTGTGAAATGTCATAATGAGTAACCTTTCACGTGAAAACAAAAGCACCAAAAGTGAGAAAAGAGCAAATACGACTTTTTCTCATGGCAAAGCAAACAACATAATTCTTATTGTAAATTCAAGTGAATATAATCCATGAAATATGAAAGTAAAACAAATACCCAGAAAGTTACAAAAAAATTACATCTAAGAACTGCCAAATACTGTAGCTCCACAAAATACCGAGTGCCAGTGGGCACTAAATAAATGTACTTTGAAAACTTGTACTAACACAGATAAATGATTGACTCATTGTTCTGATGTTATGCCATGAAGCCACAAATGACACAAACGATTGCGCACAACAGAAATATACATAAGGACAGGCAGAAAAGTTTATGGAAAAATGAATAATTTTCCAAAAGGCATACTTCTGCGCCTAACGTTCCACCAATAAAAGCCAACTCCTAGCACTTAATATTGACAACATCAGTTTCACCACATAGGATACTTTTGATATTCAGATAAGTTATTTTTATTGCTTACATTGCTTATAAATGTCAACACAAATCAAAACAAGAAATTTATGTCAGTGACAACCATAATTGTTATCTATCTTCTCATTCCTTAGCATTTAAAAAACTACAGAAATACCAAATCCCTTTTAGGGATACAGACATCCATGGTTACTCTTTATATACAAATAATTATATGAATATAAGAACAAAAAGTTTTAGAAGCATACAACTTTTCTGCAAAGCAAATGATTCTCTTTACTTACGGGGTAAGCACTTGCTTGCTTGCATCATGCTTCTGTTTTTTTTGAAACATTAAAAGGCATGCATATGGAAAAATTCTTCCTTAACGTAAATTTATGCATTAAAGAAATCTGTTTTAAAAAAAACTTCAAGTGGCTTGCTCTATATGCATCCTGAATGAAGTGCATCCTAATGGATGGGTTGGGTCTGTCTGACACCTCCCTCACACCCTATGACTGTGAGTGAGTGCATACACACATGTAATACATGTTAGTCTGTGTTTGCAGGATGACAGGACTTAAGTTTAATGTTAAAAGGCTTAAATAACTAGTCGATGCCATCAAATGTCTCCATAACAAGCGTTGTAGGCTTGTAGCATAGCAGATATTACGAAGGCTCTCAGAACATACTACGATTTTTATGCAAACTAACTCTTACAAGAAAATAGGAATGACCGGTATTGATAAACCTTTACCTAATATGATACCTAACAAGATTGCAATATCACAAGATAAATATACATTTTTCAATTTTAAAAAAAATCAAATAAAAGAAGGAATTTCTTCTAAAATTAACAAGAACCTGAAAGCAACAGTAGACTTTGGAAAAGATTGTACATGGTCAATGATATTGACTGATGTGGAAGAAAGATTTATACCTGATAACCTACACCCTTCGTAGAAACAAGACGAAGAAAACCCAGAACTAATAGTGGACATGTAGACTGAAGCGCAGACTTCCATCCCCTAGAATGAAAGGAAAAAAAAACTTCTGATTTTGACTGAAGAATGATGCACCAAATTATCACAGAATTAAAAAATCTACCAAAGAAGAAAAGGTGATATATTTGATCAACATATTTCCACATCAGATCCCATTGAAATGCCAGAGAAATAGAATTTTCCCCATTACTGTCATATAGAGAGTCCATGAACCAATGAATCATAAAAGTTTATTTTCATGTGTCCACTGAAGCTTTTTATTTGGAGGAAAATATGCCTTCGGCACGGATAACAATAACATCAACAACCACAACTACTGCACCTTTGACGCACATGGGAATCCAACCCAGGCTCCCCCACGAGGGAGCGACACAACTTTGTCACGTGACCTACTGTCCACTGAAGTATAGTTTCATGAATAAGATACTAAACTGAGAGAGTTGCAATTTTAGGGCAAATATGGTATGAAGAAAATCTAGTGTGAACTTAATAGGTTTTAATTTTTCAACAGGTGTATTCATAAAGTAAGGTAGATAGCTACCTTTTTCCCTTCGTGCATTCGCCTAGGTAGGAAACAAATGCCTCTTGGTTGAAGAAAAACCAAATAAAAAAGACTACAGTAATCTAAAGACAAAAGATAGTAAAATGACTTGGTCAAAAGATAGTGAAACGATGCTTTGCATGGTAACAGAAATCATAAAAAAAAAGTTATCCATCAAATGAGTATGATGGGAGACAGCATACAGTTAAGGCTGCTGAAATGCCAAAAAATTTTGGCCTTGTGCGTCTGATGATCGAATATTGTGCTGAATGATTATCAACTTATTATATGAAAGTCCTTAGCATTAACAGTTAATGCAATTAAAGGTAATGAAAATAAACAGCAAGTTGCTTGAGGGGAAAAGAGAATTTTCCCCTTACTTCATAGGAAGGTAAACTGCAGAGCAAGGACATAAAGACGTGAGTGAATACACCATGCTGAAACTCTCAAAAACGAAAGTTCCGGGAGTAGAGTCGAAATTGAGCTAGCCTCAGGTTCATAAGGAGCCACAGTCCAAGTCAGGTCATTCAACGTGTAGTTCAGAAAACAGTTCAGGATGTGCTGCATCGCACGCTCAGAAGCATCATGAATCCAGCCACCACTTCAGCATGTATCTAGGCACTCACACCAACATAAAGCTCCACAAACAAACAGAATAAAGAGAATACAGACAGATAAATAGACCATACTGTGACATGGATGCTAGGTTGCCTCTGATTTTCTGAATATTTAACCAAGCCCTCAGTTACTAGGGTTTCATCTAATAGCATTGTCAGCAATAGCACCATCACATCAGTTCAGCAAATATCATTTACAAGCCTGCATACCCCATTTCTCCAGAATATTAATTGCTAGACACTTGAAAGGTCTTGATACTATGATGTACTGCATTGATTGCCACAGGCATGTATGCTTGTACACAAAATTGAACTTCAAACTTATTTTGAAGTTTGTGAATATAAGTATGTAAAGAACACTGTGAACACCTCAAAGTTATTCAAATAATATCAAAATAACGACGACAGCTCAAATATATCCCATCTAGCAAGTCCCATAAGTAAAAATGAGAAACTTAAGAATGACTCACATGGACTTGGCACCACGGGCTTGCCTTGATACTAAAGAATTTGCCACAACAAATGATCCCACCCCAAGATCCATCTGTTAGAATTTGCGGATATGTCAGGTTTCCACAACCGCCAAAAACTGCAAACTTATTGCTATATTACCTCAAATTGATTTTTATTGACTGTAAAGCCATGAACCATGCAAGAATAGAAGTAAGGTTTTTTATGATAATACTAAAAAAAGATCTTGTCAAGCAATGTCAAAAATGGACTCTTTATTATGCTATAGAATGAATTCCAGCAGAACATAAGGATGAAGGTGCAGAAAACAAGTACTATTGAATTGTTTTTTGTTGCTAACTTTTAGGCAGTCAATGTATAGCAAGATTCAAGAAGATGCAACATGGTCAAGAAATAAGGCATTTAGTTTTCAATACATCTTGAAGCAACAGCAGCAGTTTGAGTGACACAAGAAGCATCAGAAGAAGAAGGTTCGGATTCTTTTTGGACATATATACTACACTTCACATGAATTTCCTAAAACTCGGTGGTTTGGGTTATTGTCAAGCCATACACAATTCAAAGCTAAGAGATTTTATTTAACAGAAAGTTTCTGGCCAATCACTCGTACAAATCAAGAGTGATCGAAGTTTCTGATAGAGGACTCTTTGGCATTTGAATCTGTAGGCTTCAGTATCAATGCTTGAAATACATAATATAGTCACATATATTAACATCTATCCACAACAAAGTTGAAGTTAGGAATTTAGTACCAAAGCGGGGGGAGACTAATTAGTAAATAATGACCAGATACTATATGTGCAAAGGGTATTAGGAACTTATCAGGAACTAATCTCAACTCAGATATGCTTGATGCCCATTCTAAGTCTACAGATTATGAGAACTTATCAGTTGCAGTTACCAGTGTTTTCAAAGGCGCGCGCCTCACTGCGCCTTATGATGCGAGACGGTGGCGAAACGCCCCACTTCTAATGCAACAACGCCTTTTGTGCCTCGCGTGCATCTTTACTTTGTGCATGGTGCATGTAGTACATATCCTCATATAATTTTGTTTGTTAACATTTCAATCGAGTCTTTATACTTGATATTCCATATCCCAAAAAGCAAAATAAATCCATTAGGCCTTTTTTTAGTAACCTTCAATTGAGGACCATTACTAATCCTTTGCTTGGATATTAGTCTTGATTTAACATTTGATTTGAAAATTTATGAATGTTGCTACTATGTTGGGTGTTAGCATTAGAAATTAAGGCATTATATTGTGATTTTGTAGTAAGATATTATTTATCATGACATTTTTCATGTGAATTCTAAAAACATGTTCTTTCACGCTTGATTATATATTTTGAAAAATTATGTGGGCGGTGTGCGCCTCGCATCACTCGGGCGCGCGCATTGCGTTGCGCCTTATGCATGTGCGCGTAAAGATGCTTTGCGCCCCGCATTACGTCTCGCGCATTGATAACACTAGCAGTTACTAAGACACCCATATATCCATAACTAAAATCATATGAACAGGAGAAAAAGTACAGCTTACCAAACCAGTACCATAGGTTTCAGTCTTAGCATAGCGTCTGGGAAAGATTTTGAAGTCAACAGCCAATATGCAGACGCATGTTAACAGTACCTACTTGTAAATGCATCAATTATGTTACTCGTGTATAACAATTAATTGGTTAGGGGGGAAAGGGAAAAGAATGTAAGTTGAAGATATGCTTACCACTGAAACTCTATATGACAAAATGCTTGTCCTTAGAGACAACATATGCCCTGGTCTCTCCATAAAACGAGAACTTGATGAGCTCAGCCTGAGTATGATTCATTAAACTTTAGATCAATGAGCTATAAATTGTTTCTGCATGTGTTTTAAACAAGAGCATACGGTTACGGGATGTTTAGTCCTGAGGTATCTCTACTTTGAAACTGAATGATGATCACACTGTTAAGTAAAAAATTAATCACATTATCTACCTTTTAGCTGATATACAGAAAATCAGCAGAAGTATTACAAAAGCCGTGAAGGAATAAACCCATTCAGCAAGAACCTGCGAAGAACAAGTTTATCAGCTATAGCTCCATGTACAATGATAGCCAAATGAGTCAATGGCTCAAAATATTGAGATTTTATTTAGAGAAGTATTTGACTCTGATTGTTTGGATTACAGCTACAAAGTGCCTGACAGATGAATATGATTCCTTATTTCCCCATTGAACGAATTTTCTAGGAAAATTTCTTGGAGGTGCTACCTTCCATCTTTTGAGACCAATATGATATATTACCCACTTTTCCAATTCATTTTAAACGTTTCAGGTCGGAGCTCCGCCTTGCCTATTCTTACAATATCGCGAAACTTATATGATAGGAAAAACATAATTTGGAAGTTGACAGCACACTTATCCCTGTTTTGATGGGAAATTTTGATATGATATTGATTCTACTTGTAGAACATATGAAATCAAAGCCTGATACCTAATACGGACAATGCCAGCTAATTGAATATTGAATTACACAGAAATGAGAAGCAAACTTCTCCCTAGTATGGATTATGCAATAGACATAACCTAATGATAAGGACGAAAGCCTAAACCAAATCCTTTTTTTAAACACTTACGGTGAAAATCAATAGGATGGGTACAACAACACACAAAAAATCCATAAACAACGCGACCATGCAACTTCTCCCATCTTTACAAGTAGAACTCGCATTGTCCTTCCTCTTCTTCTCAACCTCTTTAGCATAAATAGTGCCTGTAGAGGGAAACCAAAGACATTATTTTTGTCCGGATCAAAAAATACCAGCAAAGAGTCACTTTTTACACTGACAGCCATCAAAGATGGCAGCTTTCCGTTGTAATTTGAGATTACGGATCAAATTAGGGTTTTGGGCAACGTGAATTCAAGAATAAAACTAACCGCTCACAGGGGCCGAGCAGCTCCACTGACGAAGGACTACCAGAGCCTGAGATTTCCCAATCAAATCGGTAAATGATCGAAATAAATAAATAAAATTTTGGACTTGGTAAGAATTATGTAGCTTCATAATTTGGGAAATTTACGGGTACGATCGTTGAGAGAGCGGCGATCTCAAGCATTGAAGAACCAGTTAGGTTGCTGACGAATCTGAAGAAGAGACGAGAGTTGTTATCATGAGTAAAATTACAGGAAATTGGGAAGTTTTAAGTTGTGAACAATAAAATAATTTACTCTTCTTTGAGGCTCTTGAGATCCATGGGAGAGGAGGGAGGGGCGAAAACAGCGGGTGGAAGGGGTAGTCGAGCGTGTAAGATTAGAAATTTAGGCGAGACTTCAATGAAATTAAGTCCCCAATGTTTTAACTTGATTTCATTTGAGTTCTTAAAGTTTTAAATGCTTATAGGGAAAAGTATTTATGGTCACCATGGTGAGATTACTCCCACTATATATAAATTTTTTTGTGCCCGTTATATGAGGTAATCTTAATCATATAAGATTTCGAATGTAACATGAACAAATAATAATATCCCAATGAATTATAAATTTTTACTTGTATTAATTAAATCATAGGAAACCTGAAATGACAAAACCAATTGACACTCATCATAGCCTAAATTGAACACAAATAGAACTCCAAGTGACTGAACACAAACATAGCACAAACCAGAGCATCAGGAAACCTGGTGTGCACGAACATGAACAAGGTAAACTATGTAAAAGGGACAGAGGTTACAGATCCAATCAATACAGATCCAAGTGACTGAACACAAACACGCTTCTAATTTAATACTATTATACAAAGTAAACTTTGTAAAATGAACAGAGGTTACAGATCCAATCAATACAAAACTGGAAGAGATCTTTAAAATTGTTCCGGAACTAAAGGTTACAGATCCATGCGCACAATATTTGGTGATGAATCGTCAGGATTCATTGCCTCAAAATCATGCAACATTCATAGGCAGCAACACAAGGACCAGGCTTCAAAACTCTAAAATCTCCTTATATCATCCTAGCTGTCTCAGATAAAAGTAAGAGGTATATATCTGCACAAAGAAAAATGGAAATTCATCATAGTGGAATGTACCAACCGCATCAGGAGCATGGCATGTGGGTTCTATTGTATAAACTGCATCAAATGTGTCGTCTGCATCGAAAATGGAAATTCATACTTCACCTGGACAGTGCACACATGAGAGAGTTTCTTTCATTGAATTGGCTCATAGAATCTCTCGTCAGCGATCATCTCTGATCCTCTCCATAGGGTGTTGGGTATTCGAAACAATCAATCGAACCCTTGCCCTTCCGGACCTTGTGTTGAAAGTAGAAAAGTAGGAATAAACCACAAATAAAGATCTAACCTGCAAAAAACAGTAAGGGAGATGAACACACGGATTTAACGAGGTTCGGCAACGTGCCTACGTCCTCGGGAGCCACACCACACAATCTTTTTATTAATTGAAGAAGAAAGTACAAGCTCTCAAACAAGGGGTAAATCTCTCTGAGATTCTCTCTCTCTTTGCAGCCAAAAAGCTCTTTTTGATGTCCTTTAAACCCTAAAATCGTTTGGGGTATATATAGAATCCTGGTTGAAACAGATTCCTAAACAGATCAGGAAACTGTCTGGGCGATTCGCGGTCGACCGTCGTGCCAAGGCCGGTCGACCGGCCAGAGAAAAATCTGTTTACAAGGTCCTGTGCACATTTGCGGTCGACCGCAACGGCCACCGACCAGAGCGAAAACTTCTTCTCAGTCTCCTGCAGTGCACGCGGTCGACCGGCTCTGCCACTGCGGTCGACCGCACAGTCTTCTGACTATTTTCTTCGTCTTTTCGATTGCAACTTCGGGTCTACACACTTAGACTAACAATCTCCCACTTGGAGACCAAAGCGCCATCAATGAGCTCACCCGAACTCTCACCTTCTTCGCATGTATCTTTTCCCTGAACCGATCCTCGTAGTGTGGCTCCGCCTTCGTCTTCTACTCGTGAAGGCCAACTAAAGTTGCGCACAACTCCAGTTTCTCAATGGTGACTGCCTTCGTCAACATGTTCGCCGGATTTTGACTCCCCAAAATCTTCATTAAATGCAACTTTCCGTCCTCGATCAGCGAGCGTATAAAATGGTATTTGACGTCGATGTGCTTCGTTCTGGCATGATATACTGGATTCTTGGCAAGATGTATAGCGCTCTGGCTATCACAATAAAGAACTCCTCTCCCTTGCTTCAGATCCAACTCTTCCAAGCACCCGTTCAACCAGATCATCTCCTTGCTTGCTTCAGTCACCGCGACATACTCAGCCTCGGTTGTAGACAAAGTCACAATCTTCTGCAGACGTGAGACCCAGCTCACTGCTGTCGACGCTAAGGTATAGACATACCCCGTGGTGCTTCGCCTCGTATCATGATCACCGGCGAAGTCCGCATCCACGTATCCCTGCAGCACCAACTCCTTTGCTAACAACTTTAGCATTCTGCATGTTGAACCTCTGAAGTACCTTCTCAATGTATTCAGCTTGGCTCAAACTCAATGTCCCTTCAGCTTCATCCCTACTGATTCGCATCCCTAGAATCTGCTTCGCTGCACCCAGATCCTTCATTGCAAATTCCTTTGCTAGCTGCCTCTTCAAACTGTTTATCTCTTCTAAACACGGTCCTGCTACCAACATGTCATCAACATATAATAACAAAATAATGAAGCTGGACTCGAACCTTTTGAAATAACAGCAATGATCCGAATTGCATCTTCTGTAGCCATTGTTCTGCATGAAGTTATCAAACTTCTTATACCACTGTCTCGGAGCCTGTTTCAAACCATATAAGCTCTTCTTGAGCTTGCACACCATCTCTTCCTTTCCTTCTTCAATGAAGCCAACAGGCTGCTTCATGTAGATTTCTTCATCCAAGTCACCATGAAGAAAGGCAGTCTTCACATCTAACTGCTCAAGGAAGAGGTCTTCTGCAGCTACCAAACTCAACACCACTCTGATGGTTGTGAGTTTCACAACAGGGGAAAATATCTCCGTGTAGTCCACTCCTTCCCGCTGTTGAAACCCTTTCACTACTAATCTGGCCTTGAATCTCTTGCTTCCATCACTCTCCTGCTTGACCCGGTAGACCCATTTATTGTGCAAGGCTTTCTTCTGCGCAGGTAGCTGGGCTAACTCCCATGTCTCATTAGTGAGTAGAGAATCCATCTCCTCCTGCATCGCATGCTCCCACTGCTGAGATTCACTCACTTGCACTGCCTCTTCATAACACTCCGGCTCTCCGCTATCTGTTAAGAGTAGATAATCAAGTGACGAGAGGTATTTGGGATTTGGTTTGGGTACCCTAGATGACCTCCTAGGCTCCACGCCCTGGGTAGTAGCTCCTGCACCTGTAGTCTCCTCCGTTCTACGGTCAGAACTGACATCGTCCCCCCCATCTGGAAGTTCCTCCAAATCCATGTACTCGGATCCACCTGTATCCGTAGTGCTGCTCCCACTGCTTTGGCTATCCTTGGCATTGTTCCTGTCCTTGTACATCACCTCCTCATTGAATATCACATCCCGGCTCCTGATGATCTTCCTGTTCTTCTCATCCCAAAGACGATATCTAAACTCATCAATGTTGTATCCATTGAATGTGTACTTCTGTGACTTAGCATCTTGCTTGTCCCTAACATTGTCACTGATATAAACATAAGCCACGCAACCAAATACCCGCAAGTGTGAGAGATTTATCTTCTTTCCACTCCAAACCTCCTCTGGAATCCCAAAATCTAATGGAACTGATGGCCCGTGATTAATAAGGTATGCTGCCGTATGTACCGCATCCGCCCAAAATGTCTTAGGCAGACCTGCATGTAATCGCATGCTCCGCGCACGCTCTGTCAAGGTCCTGTTCATCCTCTCTGCAATGCCGTTCTGCTGCGGCGTCCCTGGAGTAGTCCTCTCTAAACGAATCCCATTCGTAGCACAGAACCTCTTGAACTCCTCCAGCTCGTATTCTCCACCATTATCTGATCTCAAGCACTTCACCTTCAGATCTGTCTCGTTCTCGACCATGGCCTTCCACTTATTAAAGATCTCGAACACCTCTGACTTGTGCTTCATGAAGTAAACCCACACCTTCCTCGAGTGATCGTCGATGAAGGTGACGTAGTATCTCGAACCGCCAAAAGAAGACACACTGGCTGGGCCCCATACATCTGTATGAATCAACTCTAGCTTCTGAGCCTTAGGTGGCCTTCCACCCTTCTGGAAACTAACCCTCTTCTGCTTCCCAAAGATGCAGTCTTCACAAACCCTGACTTCCACGGTGTCGATCCCGGTTAGCTTTCCTTGTGAATGTAGAATTTTCATCCCTTTCTCGCTCATGTGCCCCAGCCTATTGTGCCACAGATCTGTACTCTCCTTGCCAGCTGCAATTGCGAGGGTGTCACTCGCATGTGAAGTGAGGTAGAGAGTTCCCGTTTTATTGCCTCGGGCAACAATCATCGTACCGTTGGAGATTCTCCACGAATCCCCGGTGAATGTCGAAACGTAGCCTTCTGCTCCAAGCTGTCCCACCGAAACAAGATTCCTCTTAAGCTTCGGCACGTGTCTCACGTTCTTCAAGTTCCACTTAGAGCCCTTTATCTGTATCTGAACGTCGCCCTTTCCAACAATATTGCAAGGTTCATTATCCCCCAAGTATACTTTACCAAAGTCCCCTGCTACATAGTTCTGAAGTAGTTTCCTATTAGCAGTGGCGTGGAAAGAAGCTCCTGAGTCGATGACCCAAGAATCAGAATCGCTATCCATAGCAAGGATCAAGGCATCCTGCACGATATGAGCCTCCTGCTCACCCGCATCCTTCTTTGGTGCTTTACAGACCGAAGACATATGGCCCTCCTGGCCGCAGTTCCAACACTTCCCTTTGATAGACCTAACCTTCGAGTTCGGCCTCTTCTTCACTGATTTCGACCGATTCCTGTTCTGGTTCCCTTTCTTCTGGCTTCTGCCTCTCTGCTCGAAACTTAGGGCTGAACCTGAACCTTCTGATTCGGACGATTTCCTTCTAACCTCCTCGGATAGAATCATGCTAACAACCTCATTCAGCTTCAACTTCTCTTTCCCCGCCGAATTGCTGATTGCCGTCACACAACCTGCCCAACTATCCGGCAACTGCGATAGTAGTAGAAGGGCCTGCACTTCGTCATCGAACGTGATGTCCACGGAGATAAGTTGATCAACAATCGTGTTGAACTCGCTGAGGTGCATCGTGAAGGACCGTCCTTCTGCCATCTTGAGGTTGAAAAGAGTTTTGACTAGATGCACCTTGTTTGCTGCCGACGGTTGCTCGTACATCTTCGCGAG